AAAATTAACAGTCAGGTTGATATCTCACTGGAACCATAAATCACACTTTTTAAATGTAGCTTTAATGTTTCTTTAACTTTATATTTCATTGTATAACATCAATTTAGATCGCAGCTTAACATATTCGCAATCTTTCCTCTCTATGTGCTTGTCCAGGGTGCTGAGACTCTTCAAGAAGCAGTGACAGGACAGCGTCCAGAGAAAAAAGGATTTTTGGCCGCGCAAAAAACGAGGAGGAGGAGGAGGCGCCTCTCGCGTTGAAGCAGAACCGTTTTAGATGGATTCTTCATGTTTGCTTCAGCCTCAGTGGAGACAGCCTGCTCTGAACACTTCCGAGCCGTGACAATAAGGTGTAAAACATGACACATCGCAGCGTATGGATAGCCAAAAACATGAGCTGCTCCCAGCGTGGAAGAAGCGGCTCTGTCCTCTCCGGTGCGCGCTTGGAGCAGAATGCGCACGGGACATCTGGTAAGGGGCCCTTCAGATTTTATAAAGTTGCCTTGAATGTGATTCAAAACCATTTTAAACAATATTGCTGGATATTTTGTTCATCAGTAATGGTGCAGTGAAAGCATACCTCCTCTTGTCTTCTGTGTTTGCTGTGACAACACTCTTTGATGTTTGACTTCTTTTCACGTCTATGCCTTTCTGCTCAGCACACGCACCTGCCAGCTGCTTTATAGGCTCCTCTGACTCTGGGGGTGACTGTAACCTGGATTCAGTATTGTAATTAATTTAGTGTTTATTGGGAGTGAAACGCATCCCAGGAGGAGAGTGGTGGAGGTGTTTGTTCTCTGTGTGTTATGAAGTGAAGTTTTATGGTTGAGGTGTTTACAAAGCGCCACGAGGTGAGTTGGAATTGTGGGAAAATATAAATGTGTGGGTGGGTGGGTGGTTGTGTGTGTTCATATGGATGAGGAGAAAACAGTGGCTGCCAGGAAGTGTTCCAGTGTGATCCACATACACACACACACACACACACACACACACACACACACACACACACACACACACACACACACACACACACACACACACACACACACACACACTTCCCTCCTCTCCTATACCTCTGAGGGGATCAGAAGGGGTGGATCTAGTCTTTAACCTAAAGGACTTTTGACATGCTGGAAATCGAGTGCATTTCTTTCAAGTTTCTGATGAAACTGAGTTGATTGTGTGGAGGTATATCTTTAGCTTAATCGACCTAAAATGTGCAATTAGCCAAGATTGGTCCTTTCACTGATGCAGGAGAAACTGCATGATGCGTCAGTGAACTGTCATGCTTACTCTCTGACTCAAAGGCCCTGAGTCATGGACACACAAAGTCAGTCCTGCACGCATAGGGGGCTCGGCCACAGGACGGGAGGCTTCTGATGTTCAGAGCTGAATCCTTCTTTTGATCCTTTTCTTGTCTCGTCTTTGCATCTCAAAGCAGTTGTAGTTGGTGTGTGTGTGTGTGTGTGTGTGTGTGTGTGTGTGTGTGTGTGTGTGTGTGTGTGTGTGTGTGTGTGTGTGTGTGTGTGTGTGTGTGTGTGCGTGCGTGTGTGTTAGCTTTGGCATCACCTGAGACATGTCACACTTCTCCAGAAAGCGCCTCTTATACACGCCAGTCAAATGTGTGAAAACATGTCGTGAAACAACCTTGTTTTTCTTTACCCATGTCGTTCGAAATTGCCAGTTTGTTCTCAGGCGGAACATAAGAGCGTCTCCTCTGCTTCAGGCATCTCACACTCCCCCGTCACGCTGCCACAGCTTTCACTTCCTCCAGTCAAAGGTCAGGGGGTCAGCGGCCCTGCTGAGGGTCAGGTACGGCGTGTTTCTTCACCAGCAGCCTCCCGATGTGTGGTCTGGTTTGTTTAATCTGGCATGTGGCTTTACGAGAGCTAGCATGCCGTGTGTTGGTGTTCTAGGTTTCTCACAGTGAGCCAGATGAACACTCATAATTAAAACGACAAATTGAGTTATCGTCATTACCACCCGTTAATGTAGGAGCATCCTCATAAACAGCCGGTGTATCTCACCCAGTGGACTTCATAACTACAAGCTTTCAGTTGCAGTGTTTATTTCAAATATAACCTATATATATATATATATATATATATATATATATATATATTATTAAAGAGATATATATATATTATTAAAGACTTTGAGACATATTGAGGATAAACCGACTCATTCTTTGGATATTACAACTCTGCAAGATTACATTTCTCTCGTCAAATTTGCCAAGAAAACACATCATTTACTTCACCCTACAATGAAGAGGAATGCATTGGAAAATCAGAAAGAAACATGAAATTCAGTTACTTTTAAAGCTGAAAAAACAACTTCAAACATAAACAGCCTTTTTCCAGATACTTTATAATTGTATGATAAAAACATGTCTGCCTAATTTCCAAATAAAGAACACTCATTGAGTGTAAACGTAACTCCTAAATGATCGCTCCCCACTTCTTTCATGTTTCTTTTAAATCTTACATTGTTGAGCAACATATTCAATTGTCCCCCATGAACCACATTTGCAAAACATAGTTACCAAATAATGAACTATTGTTATTGTTAAATAATCTAAATTAATAAATAAGTTACAATAAATAACCTTAGCATTCATCTTTGTTTATTTCTGATTTACATAATGCTATATCTTATCGATTGTTTACCTGCTAAGACCAAAGGTGCCTTACCTGTTGTATTTGATTATCTTCGTTTTTTTACGTCACTTTTGGGGAAATTAAGCTCAAAATGTGCACTCAAGGTTAACATTGGTTCATCTTGAATCTGGACTTCTTCATCCAGCATGTGCGTGTTGTGAGATCTTTAGAGAACAAAGTAGTGTGTGATTAGCTCGTAAATTATTTTAAGGCTTCTGCAAACATTAAGCTATAGTTTCAAAGTTATACACTGGGCACACAGTGATCAAATACATACAATACATTCCAAAACATTTAATACAAGACATGACCAAATCACTATGCAATTTAGGAAGAACACAAAACAGTCAGGCAACATTAAAGTCCTTAGTCTTTAATAAAACTTAAGTTGTTCTGGATAACATAAAGACAGAAACTGAGTGTCTCTAACAGTGTTGACACAAGTAGAAAGTTGACACAAGAGGTCAAATGTATAGATTCCTCAGTAGGTAAAACATTTTAAGGGACATCATCAAACACAGTCGGCAACACAACAGATTCAAGTTCATTCATAGCAGCCTGACATTTTAAAGGAGGCTGCAATCCGTTTAGATTAGCAGAAGTCTGTCATTGAAAGATGGACGCGTGCTGGGACCCCCGTCCTCTGCGTCTCGCCCTCAGTGTGTAATGTTACTCTGGTTGTTTTGTCCCAACACTAATGGAGAGAGTGCAGTGAGAGAGATTGATTATGCAACGTGAAGTGCCACAGGGCAGTTTCAATCTGGAAGTGCTTAAAGTACGCAGCCAACCACAGTGATTCCCTCAGGGCAAATTGAAGGAGGCATGATCTGACAAAAAGGAATTTCAATTTGTTAGATGTATTCTTTCAGACAAATGCTTCCCATGCTACTTATATTTGCTAGGTCCTTACTTTTGTAGCGCTGGACATTCTCGTGTAAGCACGCCAACAAGGGGAATTATTTTTTGTCTCTGATCTTGATTTGTTTTGTTGTTGTCGAACATTTTGGCTTCTTCAAGTTCAAACGGCTTACATTATTAAGAACAAAGCAGCAGTAAATACTTTGGAGCCGCTGATGAAACATAAAGAGAACTCCTGTCCTTATCGTGAAATCTCGCTCCTTAAAAAAAACTTTTCTCGAAACACAGAAGAATGTTAACTAGTGTTTGGTTTTTTTTATACAATAAGCTGTATTCTTCTGAAACTAGCAGGTCACGTTCATTAATCATAGCGTCTGAGGGCTGCTTTGAACTATCAGGCCAGGTCATTAAACTTGGTCTGTCTGGGGCGAGAGCGGGCGACACGGAAACACTTTGGAGAGCGCTGGTTCACCCACAAGACACACTTATAATGACCAGTGTGTGTGTGTGTGTGTGTGTGTGTGTGTGTGTGTGTGTGTGTGTGTGTGTGTGTGTGTGTGTGTGTGTGTGTGTGTGTGTCACAGATGGCCAAGTTTCTGAGTGCTGCTCTCAACTCAGTGTGGGCTTAATTTGGAGAAATAACAACATGAGATGGGAGCAAGGAAAGGTCGCAAGGGTGGGAGAGGGGATTTGTGGTTCTGTATGAAAGGTTAGGCGTCCTGTGAGCAGGAGTGTGCGTGTGCAAAGCCACTTTTGTAGTGACAATGTCAGTTGAAGTGTGTTGAGAGAAAATAGGCGAAAAGAGATTGTTGAATGTGTGTGTCTTATCTTTCCCTCTCCATCCCTCTTTGTTCTTTCTTTCCGTCTGCTTTGTGGCCTTTTAAGAGCTGTCCTCCTCGCAAACAGCAAATCCTACCCTCTGATCATCGCTCCAACACGGCTAAAATGTGTTCCCATTTAAGGTGAGGCTCACCCAACTGCTCTCTGTGTAGCTCTCTTTTAAAACCAACTTAATCAGGCAGGAATTTGGGTTATTAGGGTCAGGGACACTGGGGGAAACTGCCTTAGCGAGAAACAAAGTGAGGAGCAGCGAGACGTTAAGGACACAGATGTGTCGCATCGCAGCGGGCCCATGATGCGTAGCGGATGATGTTTTCCCGTCTAATTGATCTGATTGGGTCACAGGACGCTGGTGCATTGTGAGTTTCTATTGGCTAATTAGGGCTAACGGCACATTAGCTAAACTTTCCAGTGACCCTTCAGGCTTAATCTGGTGGAGGTTGTTGTACATTGTTGAAGTTACAGCTGCTGTGGAAACTACAGCAGGGTCATGACTGAAATCTCTTTCTCCCCCAGATTTTTTTCATTTTTCTGTTGTGCCTTAAAGAACAATTGTCGTTTTTTACAACTTTGTCTCATTCTTGTAGTTTTGGCGCTCCTGCCTGTCATAAATAATTGGATCAACCAATCGAATTCCCGATAACTGGAAAAAATGTGATGCTGAGGAAACCTTGAAATCTTTTTGAAATCTGCTTTCATTTATATGTTAGTCACACTGTTGTTCTGCAAATTGCAATTGGCTATACACACCCAGCAGGCTAAGAGCAACATCACCATTGCGTCCAAATAGAAAATGAAAGTCAAACATTTACACCACTTTTAGATCTCTCTTTTGTCCCCACCAACTCCTGAAGGAGGAATGTGGCTCTTAGCTGCCGGCTTGGTCATTAGGGATTGTTGAGTTATGCTTATCTCTAATTGAAATGTTATTGACAGATTTATTGAGACCTGTTTCATGTGATGATGAAAGGGAAGCCAGAGCTCCTGGCAGGAGTTCACATCGTACCTATTGTTACAGCTATTTTTTAGCAAATGTACAAAAGAAGCAGTAATTAGTCAGTCATGCCGAAGAAACTGAATTGTACAAACACGAAAGGAAAGGTTTGTGTGGTT